GAGAAAGCAGGGTTTAAGTGCACGGTGGCCCCGGAGGTCCAGGCTGTGTTAACCCGTTTCGTGGCTGCAGATCACGACATCATCATCATCGACCACAGAAACCCCCAGCAGCTGGACGCCCCGGCGCTGTGCAAGTCTATTCAAGCAACAAAAGTTTCAGAAAACACAGTTATTGTTGGTGTAGTACTCAGGCGGGATGCAGAAGAGTCTGTGATGTCCCTCATTAGTGTCGGCTTTACGAGGAGGTACGTGGAGAACCCCAGCCTCCTGGCCTGTTACGCCGAGCTGCTGCAGCTGGAGTTTGGAGAGGTGCGGTCACAGCTGAAACTCAGGGCTTGTAATTCAGTATTCACTGCACTAGAGAAAGGCCAAGATGCCATTAAAATCACGAGTGAGGACAACTACATACAGTATATAAATCCAGCATTTGAAACAACAGTGGGCTATGAGTCAGGTGAATTATTAGGGAAGGAGTTAGCAAAAATGCCTTTAAATGAGAAAACGGCTGACTTGTTCAGTACTATAAATTCATGCATGAAGATGGGCAAGGAGTGGCAAGGCGTTTGCCACTCCAAAAACGGAGATAATGTGCCACCAAATGTGAAGATAATACCTGTCATTGGACAGGGAGGAAAAATTAGACACTATGTGTCCATTATCCGAGTGAGCAACGCCAACAATAAGGCTGCGAAGATCACGGAATCTGTTCATTCTGTCACCCCCACAGATAACCCATCAGGTAAACATAAAGACAAGAGGAAAAGCTCCCTGGACCTCAGGAGTGTGCCTCACGAGCAAGCGAAGTGGCCAGCCAGAGGTGACACTCCTCCATGGCCCGGATCCACTCCATGACCATCGAGGCGCCCATCACCAAGGTGATCAATATCATCAGTGCTGCCCAGGAGAACAGTTCCCTGCCTGTTCCCTGACGGAAGCCTTAGACCGCGTCGTGGAAATGCTGAGAACCTCGGAGCTGTATTCACCACAGTTGGGGGGGAAGGAAGAGGATCCTCACACCCAGGACCTCATTGGGGGCCTGATGTCTGACGGCTTTCGAAGATTATCTGGGAATGAGTATACTCTCTCCACAAAAAACCTGCATCAAATTTCTGGCCGCTTACTCACCTCCGAGTCCCTTCACGATATCCCACCGCAGATAGCTGAGGCCATGGAAAACGATGACGACTGGGACTTTAATGTTTTTGAACTGGAGACTGCCACTCAGAAAAGGCCTTTGACTTTTCTTGGTCTCAAAATCTTCGCTTGCTTTGGGGTCTGTGAATTCTTGAAGTGCTCGGAGACGACGCTTCGACTGTGGCTGCACAGACTATTGAAGCCAACTACCACTCCTCCAACCCCTACCACAACTCCCCCCACGCTGCCGACGTGCTGCACGCCACTGACTACTTCCTCTGCCAGGAGAGGGTCAAGCAAGCGTTAGACTCAGTGGATGAGGCCGCCGCCCTCATCACAGCCGCCATCCACGACCTAGACCACCCGGGGAGGACCAGCCTCTTCCTGTGCAATGTGGGCAGCCCGCTGGCCATGCTGTACAATGACTGTGCCGTGTTGGAGAGCCACCACGCGGCCCTGGCCTTCCAGCTGACCGCCCAGGAGGACAAGAGCAACATCTTCAAGAATGTGGAGAGGAATGACTACTGGTGTCCAGCCCCTGCCGGCCCTTGGAGCAGTGCATCGAGTGGGCTACACGCATCTCGGAGGAATATTTTTCTCAGACCGAAGAAGAAATGAAGCTGGACTTACCTGTGGTGCTGCCAGCTTTTGACCGAAACACCTGCAGCATCCCCCAGTTCCAGATCTCCTTCATCGACTGCTTCGTCACAGACATGTACCATGCTTGGGACGACTTTGTAGACCTACAGGAGTTACTGCAGCATCTGGACAACAATTTTAAATACTGGAAAGGACTTGACGAAATGAAGCTGCGGGGCGTCCGACCACCTCTGGAACAAAATAGAGAAGGCTCCTCCTGTCTGAAACTGGACCTCTGAAACTGCTCTACTCGCCTGATATACTTTGCCAGTGATTCTACAAATTAAAAGAAATTAGGACTGAACACTTTTTCATAAAATTTTATTAATGACTTTTTCCAGAAGTTTGCCTTATTTTGTAGTGTTTATACCAAATATTGTTATAGAAACATAGCAAACAGAATATTTACTAAATTGACTTTTTAAAACCAATCTGTTTTTATCTTCATAGGTTAAAAAAATAAAAATAGAGTTCTGGGAACCTTTAAAAATGTGTATATGTATAATATTTTGCATCGAGGCAGTCCACATACACCTCCTGTTTAACTTCCCCCAAAATAAGAATCACTAAAAGTATTGTAAGTGGACAAAGAGGGAAACGGTACATGGGAAAATGGAAACAGAATTTGTTTTAAGGGGTAGAAGGAAAATAAATTTCTTATAATGTTGTTAAGTGTTTTTAAGATAAAGAAAAAAAAAGAGCAGTGGAAAATAAGGACATGTATGTCAGCCCCCTCTTTCCATTTTGAGAAGTTAGATGGCCTGCCTGGGTCACAGCATGGGAGAGTGGATCTGAGCCTAGAACCCTGGGGTCCTGACCCCAGCCCATGCTGTTTACACTGGGCTTGCTGTCCGTGCTGCCCCATAGAGGCCAGGGCCATCTGAGCAAGGCACCCGGGCTGTCCTTCTGCTGACCTTATGGATGCTCTTCTTCTTCCTCTCCCTCCAGAAGTGGAACAGATTGAGGCCATCGCCAAGTTTGACTACGTGGGGCGGTCCCCACGTGAGCTGTCCTTCAAGAAAGGGGCCTCGCTGCTATTGTACCACCGTGCCTCGGAGGACTGGTGGGAAGGTCGTCACAATGGCGTGGATGGACTCATCCCACATCAGTACATAGTCGTACAGGACATGTGAGTGGGAGCTGGACCCTACTGTGAAGAATGCCATAATCGATTATTGACGTCTAGAATGGGCACAGGAAGGGGAGTTCTGGGTCATATACCAGGGATGTGCTCTCACTGACATAATTACCCTTGGTCTTCTAAAAACAGATCCCCTCTTAAATGGTGATCCTGCTAACAAATAAGCAAATTGCTCACAGTTCAGAGCACATGGAGACAGCCTGGGTGCCCTTGGTCCCCTTCCTGACCCACCTGACAGCCTCCAGAGCACTCCTCACCCACATGGTTCTCAGTGTCCCGTGGATCTGACCATGTGCCTTCACTCTCCTGGCCTTCCCTGTAGCCAGAGGCCAGCCCACTACCCCCTTAACTGCCCACCACCCTCCACCCCCAAGGTGGCGTTCTCGGGGGACAGCAGGAGCAATCATCCCCTCATTTCGAGTTAATAGAGTACTATTTTTTTATTAAGGTGTAATTGACATATAACATTATATTAATTGCAGGTGTGCAAATGACTTGATATTTTTATATATTGCAAAATAATCACCACAATGAATGTAGTTAACATCCATCACCACACAGTTATAATTTTTTCATATGTGATGAGAACTTTTAAAATCTCCTCTCTTAGCAACTTCCAAATATGCAATACATAATTATGTGCTACCTAAATATACTCTACATCACATCCCCAGGACTTACTTATTTTGTAACTGAGAATGTGTACCTTTTGACCCTCTTCACTTATGTCACCTCTCCACCCCCCACTGCCCACCTCTGACAGCCACCTATCTGTTCCCTGAATCTATAGGTATTATTTTCTTTTAAACAATTTCAGGCCTGAAAAAAGGCCCTGCATCCCAAATACTAGCCCTACCAGAGAGCCAGAAAGTCCACACCTTCCATTCTCTGAAAGCTGGTGAGGGTTCCTGCACACACACTCCCACTGAGCTCTGGTCAGGCTCCATGGAACTGATGTATCAAGGAAGCAGCCACCAAGCTAGACCTCAGGGAAGGGGGCCAAAGGCAGAGTTTTGGTGGCAGAGGGGACGGCCTGAAGCCAGAGACGTCTGGAATGGGCATATCCCACGAGGAATGCCACAGGGAGGGCTCTCGGCACTCTGATGTCCCCAGGCCTCTGTGGACAGGGACAAGGCACTGGAAGGGAGAGGGTGTGGGCGGAGGCTGGCAGAGACATCCAGCTAGCTCCAGCCACCTCACAGTTCAAGCCTTGGGTGAGGAGGGGAGGGATGGCGGCACCTTCTCCCTCCCTTGCTTACCCCTGAACCACTCCTCACAGAACCACGTGGAGAGTCAGCACTCAGTGCCCAGCTTGCAGGGTCCGCTCCCCATTTCTCCAACACACCGTCCAGCATTATTTAGCTTGTCCTCACCCTTGAGAGAGAAGAACCTAGAGGAGGGGAGAGGAGAAGGTAGGCATGGGGTGGTGGGTCAGAGGAGGAAGTTCTGCTGGAGAAACTGACTTAGGAGCGCTGGTGCGTAGTGGTAAAACAACGTGGGAGGTGACTCACCCAGAGCTGTGAGTGTATCTTAACTTGGAGGTGTATGTTGACCCAACAGAGCCCGGCACATCCTCTGGAGCACTCCCAACTCACATCTGTCCTTCTCCCCAGGGATGATGCCTTCTCCGACAGCCTAAGCCAGAAGGCGGACAGTGAGGCCAGCAGTGGGCCACTGCTGGACGACAAGGCCTCCTCCAAAAACGACCTGCAGTCCCCCACGGACCACATCTCGGATTACGGCTTTGGGGGGGTGATGGGCCGGTAGGAAACACAGATTCATTATTTTTCTGCTAATGCCATGCCTGTTGGTATCTGATTTGGGAGGAAAACGGGGGCAGGAGGGAGAGAAGTAGGCTGTTGTGGCCCCTGTTCCCCACAGGTGATATTGAGCACACCTGGGAGGGGCAGGGGCGGTAGAGAAGGAGGAAGAAAGACATATCTGAGCAAATCAGTGCTTTTTATTTTAAATAATAATAATAAATGGTGAGGGGGGTTACACATTGGCAAGTATTTTTCCAACTTCTCTCTCTAGTTCTAGCACCTCCTCCACTTTCCGTTGAAGATCCAAGTAGTTATATTTAAAAATTTAAAGGTCATATACTCCCTGAAGTGTGCTATATCAACAGAAAACTCACACCCCCTCAAGTGTGGGGGAAATTGACACTCGACTCCACCGATTTATCTGGTGGGAGCACATTTGCCAATTTCTTTACTCTCCATGTGTGGGCCAGGCTGTGTCACATGACCTTTCTGCCAAAAGGGAGCTGAGCTCCTTATTCTGCATACAGGTGTGGTCCAAAGCATGTGGTAGTTTAAAAACTAATACTATTAAGGAAAAGAAAAGAAAGGACCACAAACCTGACAGTTCTCACTGCTTTCCTAATCAGGTTCTCAAAATGTAATTTTCTTTGTTTACTCGGTGGAGAGGTCAGGGGACCAGCCTACACATATGAGTGCGTGCAAATAGAGCCAAAAAATTCCGTCTCAATGGAAACATACGTTTATGAACTTATTTCAGAAGTCCCAGTGTCTCCTTTAGCATATTCTATTCAGTGGAGCCAACAGTTGGGGTCCTGGGATAGATGATACAGTTGGGAGGGAAAGTGGAAAGCTGGGGTAGGTAGATGACAAAGTCATGGTCCCTTGATTTCTGGGGGGGGCGGGGGGGGGGGGGGCTTGGATTTCTATCTTGTCCTGCCTTAATTTTCCTCTCCCTCCCTCATCTACTTCCTCCTTGTTCTTTTTTTTCTCAATACCTCTTCCTCTCCAGTGCCTCTGCTTTGGTCCTGTTGGGGTGCCCACAGGCAGTGCTTAGCTTGGCTGGTGGCATTAAGATCTAAAGCGCTGCTGACCACATTGAACTTGGTCCCATGGTCACAATCCATTCCAACACTCTGTCCCTGTTCCCCACCCCCTGGATACTGCAGCTTCCCTCCCTCTTTGGTGGCCTCCATGGGATGTAGCAAAATCTCCGGGAGGTGGAACCTTTTATCTTCAAAGTGCTTTCATACCCATTGAACCTCCTTCAAAGGTGGGCAAGGAATATTATGCCCATTTGACAGATTAATAAAATGGGCCTCAAAGAGGACCCAGGGAAGTCTGTGACAGCAGGATAAGGACTCACTCTCATTTGTCCCTTTTGTCCAAATGCACGGAAGGCATGTTCAATGATGCACTTTTCCCTCTTGGATGACTTGTTTCCCAAGATCTGGAAAAGGGCTCTTAGAAGTAGCCCTTTGCTGCGGAGGTTGGGGTGGGTAACAATACTGGGCTGTGTTCTGTTCCCAGGGGGGCCCTCCTGTGCTTGCAGGGGAGCGGGTAACTTTGGGTACAGTAAAGCCTCAATGCTTCAGACCAGTTAGAAGCCCTTTAGCATCGTGGCGATGTCTGAACTGCTTACTAGTAAGAACGTATTTTGAGCCCAACTAACCATCACCAAAGCAGTCTAAGGTTGAAATCCTCTGGCCTTGACTTAACAGCTTCACTGTGGAATTAGCACCACCACCCTCTGAGCTTGGAAACAATGCTCTGGTTCCCTCCTGTGTCCCCCGGTGAGGTCCGTGCTCAGCCGGTGCTCTCATGGGGAATCGCAGTCTGGCTGAAGGAGGCTTTACTATACCTTGGCTAGACTAGTGACTAGTGTGTAGTGTGTAGCCTGGGGGTTGACTGACTCATTCTGATTGCCAGGGTTGACCTCTGCCCCATGCCCCTGCCCCCTGGCTCCTTTGCAGAGTGCGGTTACGATCTGATGGAGCAGCCATTCCCAGGCGCCGAAGCGGGGGCGACACACACAGCCCACCCCGGGGCCTGGGCCCCAGCATAGACACGCCGCCCCGGGCCGCCGCCTGCCCCAGCAGCCCCCACAAAATCCCCCTCACCCGGGGCAGGATCGAGAGCCCCGAGAAGCGGAGGATGGCGACGTTCGGGAGCGCTGGCAGCATCAACTACTCTGAGAAGAAGGCGCTCTCAGAAGGGCACTCCATGAGGTCGACGTGCGGCTCCACCAGGCACAGCAGCCTGGGGGACCACAAGTCCCTGGAGGCCGAGGCCCTGGCAGAAGTAAGGGCCATCACGAATGCAGGCCGGGCCAGTGGAGACCCCCAGAGGGGGAGCAGGGTGGGGACTTGTGGACTGGGGGGCCACTTTGCCTTTAATGCCAGGCTTAAGGCTAAGCCAGAACACAAGATAGATAAGGAGCTGGCTTCCCACCTGCCTGCTGGCCTCCCCATGGGAGTGGAAGTTGGATGGGTGCTGCTGCTGGCTAGGGTTCCTATGAAGACTGAAGAGCCCCCCTTAATCTTCAGGAATGGAGGGGGAATTCCTGTCTAAGGGAAAGGCTGGAAGCTGGAGATGTAGGAATGGCAGGTGATTCCATGAGAAGGCATAGCTGAGTTACTCATTCATTCATCTATCTGTTCATTCATTCATTTCATTCATTGACTCATATTGATTGAGCACCTGTTGTGTGACAATCACTGGGCTAGGCACTGAGAGTACAATGATGACCTAGAATGGACCCAGGCCCTGCCCAATGTAGAGAAGAAAGAGACATCAACCAATAACACAGCTGTGAAATGGCAGTTGGGCCAGGTTCTTTGAAAGAGTGGTATGTGATATTTTGAGAGCCTAAAATGTAGGGATTGCTCAGAGGGGGAGAGACTTCTTGGGGGTTCTTCTATGACCTGAGATATAGAGGATAAGGAGAATAAATGGCTGACGCTGGGGTGGGGGGTGGGGATATGACCCGATATACAGAGGTTAGGTGGAATAAACAGCTGACGCTGGAAGGGAAGATGCAGCCAGAACCTTCTTGGCTGTGAGAATTGCTCCTTGGAGAGTGGTATTTGAATCCCTGATACAAGGGGAAGGGGAAAGTTGTGGGTTTGGGGGCTGTACTCTAAAGGAGATCAGGAAAGTTTCCCCGGGGAAAACCAATGCAGAAACAACTCATCTAGCAGCTAGAACTCCTGCTCACACCCACAGGGTCTAGCTGGGCCCCATGTCCTGATGCCCACTCCCGAGGGACACCTGATGATCAGCACCTTGCCAAGGTCCCGCAGAGGAAGACCTGCTTGTCCTTCCATCCTTGAAGGCTGTCCCCTTGGGGAGCATCCCCCTAGTAAGAGCCAGGATGGGGAGTGGGCTCCCCAAGGCCCAGAGCCCTTAACATAAACAATCAAATGCAGTGCAGTCTAGGCCAGTGTTTCCAAAAGTAGCTCCCACAGCAGACTCATTCACAGGATGTTAATGGGGGGAGAGGGGAAATGTGTTTTGTTGTCAACCAACTTTGGGAAATTCCTGTCTGACAAAGTTGAATGCCTTGTCTACAAGATTTCTTAGAACCTTTAAGTATGTGTATTACGAATCTCCAAAAAGAGAAGAGGGCACACCCAGACTTCTTTGAGCTTTATTCACAGCACATTCATAAGACAAGCCTAAAGAATGAACACACTTGGGAAATGCTTTATGCATTTTTCTCCCTTTGTAAACATACCTACACACTCTCTAATTTGATAGCTGCCATTCAAAAGCTCCTTTCAAGAACAGAGGTGAAATGGGAAAGCATGGTAGATAATACGTAAATAGCCAAAAGGGGCACTAGATGGCCTCCAGCCTGCTCAGCATTGGCGCTGCCACCTCAGACTACAAACAGGAGCCGTGGCAAGGAAATACCAAGTGGTGGATGGAGTTACTAGAAATTCTCTGGTCTCAAAATACCCTTTAGGACTTAGATTTGAACCCAGTGAAGAGGCTGTTTGGGGCACTTGCTACACTGCCATCCAAAGTGGGAAGATGTAATCTGTGAGGAGCTGAAAAGTACTCCTTTCCTATCCCGCCCCCTGGAAGTCCATCACCCGCCAGCACCTCTCTGCAGCTCCACTCTGGAGATTATGGCTCACCCCTCAGACTAATGCCAGGCTCCTGCCTAAACTACTCAGCTGATCTTTCTCTGAGCTTTCTGTCTTTCTGGCTCACACCCTGCCAGGGTAGAGTGGTAGTGGTGGGAGGGATGGTGGTGGAGGGGCTCTAATTGCACTTTATTTATTGAAGTTTTACCTTTCAGCTCACACTGAAGTAGAGCAAACAAAGAGTAGTGAAGTTAATAAAGGAGTTAACTTAAGCAGAGTGGCATGTTGAAAGTAGACTTTATTCCTGCAGGGTTGGGAGAAGGCAAAGATGGGGAGAGACTGCCCTCTCTCCCCTCATGCAGAAAATCCCCCACAGCTAATCCTGTAGGTAAAGGCCCAAAGGCCCCTTCTTAAAGGAGCCAGTATTATGGGGAAGCCTAAAAGCTAATATTAGCTTTATGTTAATACTAGAGGCCCAGTGCACGGATTCGTGCAACAGTGGGCTCCCTCAGCCTGGTCTGCACCCTCTCGCAATCCAGGACCCCTCGGGGGATGTCAGAGACCTGGTTTTGGCCTGATCTCCGCAGGCAAGGTCGAGGGACCCACTGGGGCATGAATCTGTGCACTCAGCCTCTAGTATGCATATAAGATCTTTCATTAATCTCTTCCCAACTCCCCCCTTCCCTCTGAGATTCATCAGTCTGTTCCATGTTTCCATGCCTGTGCATTGAGCGTCTGCACCCTGGTGGTCATTGCGTGTCATAGCTACTGGCCTGTCGGCCAGTTGCTTAGGCTTTTATATATATAGACTAGAGGCCTGGTGCACGGATGTCAGAGATCCAGTTTCAGACCGATCCCTGCAGGCCAGGCCGAGGGACCCCACTGGTACACGATTGGGGCTGGGGATGGATGCAGGAGGTTGGCCAGCTTGGGAGGGACCACGGGAGGGCTCCAGGGTGTGTCTGACCCATCTCACTCAGTCCCGATCAGCTGGACCCCAGCAGCAAGCTAACTTACTGGCTGGAGCGTCTGCCCCCTGGTGGTCGGTGCACATCATAGCCAGCAGTTGAGTGGTTTTAGTATATCATAGCATATTATGCTTTAATTGGTTGAACAGCTGACCAGTTGACTGGACACTTAGCATATTAGGCAGGCTTTTATTATATAGGATTAGCTAATTAGCCATTAGCTAGTTATCAATAGCTCTTAACAGATCCTAAAATGGATGGCTGGGACCTTGATTGTGGCCAGACTGGAGGGTGTCATAGGGGCCTAGGACAGGCATTAGGCCACTTGCTAACGGGAGGAAAGGTGGAGATAAAAGAAGTGGGTATGGAGAGGGGCAGCCAGGACATCCCCAGGCTCCAACCCCATTAGTCTGACCAGACCTGTAGATTTTCCAGATTTGCCCCTGGGCAGAAAAGCAGTGAGTCTTAATAGTCATCATTGTTCCTGAGGCTGTGCACAGACCTTCCAACGGTGGTTTTAAGCAGTATCCTTAATTGTCCCCTCAGTGGCCCAGTCCGTGGTGCTCTGGTCCAGCTCAGCCTGAGCAGCACCTCTCATGTGCTTGATGTGAACCAAGGACTCTGGCTAAAGGGACTTTAAAAACGACTGTCTGGCAGTTTACAAAGCTTCATCACACCCATTATCTCATTCCATCTTCACAATAAACCTGTGGGCTTTCAGCAGATGAACAAAGTATGGTGCTGAGCAACTTAGACTTGCAAGTGGCAAAGGAGTCTTTGCTCAAAAGTCCTCGCCTAGGGCTCCTAAGTTAAATGCTGGCTCCCAGCTCCAGCACCCCCTACTGGCTCGAAGGGGAACAGAGGCCTTGGAAGAGGCAGGGATGAGCCCGCCATGACCTCGCTCTCTGTCATTCAGGGCACTCTCATCCATATGAGCTTAAATATTAAAACTTCCCAGGCAGATACGGATTTTTGTCGCTTTATAAGACCTCCATTTTAAAAAAATCAAAAGTTCCTGATTGTAACAGAAGAACGTAACAGTCCCATCACTTGGAGGTGAACATTCTGATATTTAACTTCCAAGGAATTTTTCTATGGGCAAGGATTTTTAAAAAATAATAATAATGGTTAGTGGCGTGGACTTTGGAGACAGACAACTTGGGTTGAGACTTAGACTGTGCTACTAAGTAGCTGCGTGACCTTGGGCAAGTTACTTAACCAGCGTGAGCTTCCCCATCCTCCTGTGTGCAATGAGCTTAATGGTAGTTCCTACCTGATACGTGTGGGGATGGACTGAATTATTCGGGGCAGGGCTTGGCGGGGTGCTTTGTGCGCGCTTAATGTGTGCCAGGGGTCAGGCCTTGCTCTTCACAGGGACCATGTCATTTCATACTCATCCAGCCCCGAGGTCTGTCTTCCAATGATCTGTAATCTGAGCTGGGGTGACTTGTCCAAGTCATGCAGCAAAGAAGTGGCAGAGCCAGAATTTGAACCCGTGTCTGTCTGGCTGCAGAGCTGGCCTTTCTTAGCCAGCAGTCTGACTTCCCTCACTGTCAGCTCCCTGTTCAGACAGTGTGCAGGCCACCACCATGTAGGTTCCCCAACCCGCGACACCCTGGGGATTCAGACTCCACCCCAGCCATTGGCCCCTGGGACAGCCTCCCTCAGACGCCCCCACGCTGCCCGGGAAGGGTGCTGACCAGAGCTCTCTCTGCCCCCAGGACATAGAGAAGACCATGAGCACGGCTCTGCACGAGTTGCGGGAACTCGAGAGGCAGAACACGGTCAAGCAGGCGCCAGACGTGGTGCTGGACACCCTGGAGCCCCTGAAGAACCCGCCCGGCCCGGTCAGCTCGGAGCCCGCCAGCCCACTGCACACC